TAAAGAGAAGATAGAAAATAAGATGATTACCCTACACTATGTTTCTACTGATCTTCAGACTACTGATATCCATACAAAGGCACTATTAACAGGAAAATCTAATAATATTGTATCCAATCTAGAATTATTCAATATATATGTAACCTAAATTGATGGGGAGTATAGAAAATGTTACAATAAGGGTAATTTAGTATTTACTCTTTTTGGACAAATGGAATGTCCACCATCACCACCAAAAATTGGTTACGTTTGTTGCTATTTTTCTTTTTCTGTTTTTCTCTCACACTCACACTTTTGGTGTGACATCAGGGCAATTTTTACCTATAAATGGCACTTCATCCTCTCTGTTTTAGTAAGCAATAAAGGAGAGAAGAACATCTCATTTTATCTCCTAAACTCTGCTTCCATTAAAATCTTCAGCCCTCTTTGACACTTTGTGAATAATATCTCTTTTACCTTTTTATCTCAAAAAAAAACATTGACAACCTTCTGATTCAGTTATGAGGAAAAAAGATTTGGTAGAAAGTTCAATGTCATAATTATTTCAGTTACATGGAAGAAGGTGGCTCTTCAGGGATATGCATACTGCTTTTAGGATCATATAGTCCGTATACGTTGTATGTTTGGTCGACTGGCTCATTCAGGAGTGTAATGTGCAATTTCTTGTTCTTATTCTTCTTTTCTTAAATACAGTATGACCAAGACTACCATCCTGGTAGGAGAAAACGAGGAAAGGACTACAAAGACGGAATGGTAGAATGCTATGTGTCTCTTTTGTTCCTTCGAATATTTTCAATTTAATTTGAATTGCATAAACGTGATTGTATTCTTTTACAATGTATGCAGTATGAACTTCCCTTCTATTATCCTGGACAGGTGAGTTCTCTAGACTGTTCATTGACATGGTTTCCCCTAATTTTTGTTTACCTGTGAGTCTTATCCCCAAAAAGTTAAAACATGTGCATATGAATACATGCGCAAACTCATATTTTTTTTTTCAATTATTTGACAGCAAACTCAAACTGTTATGTGCACTGATTGGTGTATGTCTTAAACTATTTTGCCTGCACCAACGCCATGAGTTTGCTTTTACCAATGTCATTCATTTTTCTTGCTGATTCTGCTGAATAGTTTTTTGCATATCAAACATAATACAAGATAAAGATATATGTTTCTAAAATTTGCTACATATCTTTCAAAGACATGAAATCTTCATGACGCATAGTGTCTTTGCAGATTTGTGAGGGAAAAGTAAGCACTTTACACCTATACCAGGGAGCATTTGTGGACATTGGAGGTGTTTATGATGGGTATTTATTGATGCTCCTCTTGTTTAGTCTTGATGACATTAGGT